CTTACTATATATATATATATATATATATATCTAGGCTCTAAACAATCAAATTAGAGCCTACCTTCAAATAGTGTTGAGAAAAGTGGTTTCAATATTGGAAATCTTTGTGATAGCTTTAAAATATAATTTCATCTTTATTTGTAAAGTTTAAAGCTTAAAAAATAGTGTAGAACGACAAATCTATGAAAACTTGAAAATCTTGAAAATTAATGGCACAAAAATGCATTGCAAAATACACTATTTTCAAAACTTGAAATCCATTTTTTTCTCTTGTCCATGCATCTTAATGTTGAGATGATCAATTTGATGATATTTGGACATCAAAACAACCTCTTCTAGTTAATTTTTTGAGGTAGGCTCAAATTTGGTTGTTTAGAGCCTCGGCTTTATATAAACTTTTCATATATATATCTATATATACTTTTTTTTTTTCTTTTTGCTGTGAGAAATGACGACGGGTTAAGCAGTATGTCATATGAAAACTTTAAATTTTTGGCATTTTAGTTCCAAGTCAAAATTTTGCATAACGCCATAAATGCCCTTATTCAATTAAAAGGCATGCCCTTATTCAATTAAAAGGCAAAGAACAAAAGAGGGGCAATTAATATAAAGTGGGTTGCCAGAAAGGGTGGTAGTTTTAAGTCATCTATGATCTTAAGTGGATATTTATTATCCCCTACCGGTTTTTTTCATTGAGTAAATTACGAGTAACTCTCAAGAATAAACTTCTTATGCAACTTATCCCCAACTAAACTTTTTTCTTACTTTTTACCCCAACTTTAACTTTCTTAGCAACTATTCCCAAGTTATTAAAAAGGTCAAATGAATACCAAAATACCCTTTGGAAAGCATACGGTCCATCACAAAATAGGGGTGGTCCGTCATTTGCTTTTGGAAAGCATGCGGTCCATCACAAAATGGGGGCGGGCCGTCATTTGCTTTTGGAAAGCATGCGGTCTGGCACAAAATAGGGGCGGTCCAACACTTTGGGCATGAGGTCCGGCACAAAATGGGGGCGGTGTGGCACTTTTTTTCTAGAAAGCATGCCATCCAGCACAAAATAGGGGCAGTCCGGCACTTTGGGTATGCAGACCGGCACAAAATAGGGGTGTTACGACACTTTGGGCTTCTGAAAAGTATACGGTCCGACATAAAATGGAGGCAATCCGGCACTTTGAGTATGTGGTCCGACACAAAATGAGGGCAGTCTAGCACTATGGGCATTTTCGTAAAAAAAATATGACTTTTTTTACTTGGGAGGTATTTGCTAGAAAAGTTCAATTTGCGGTAAAAGTTGCTAAAAACAGCTTTGTTGGGAGTAGGTTGTTTAGAAAGTCTCATTTTGAGGTTTTTTTTATACTTTTCCCTAAAATTTATAGCATTATGAATCTTTAGGGTATCCAATAAAATTACAAACTATGGTTTTATTTTATAATTTATTTATTTGTTCAGGTGAAATTAGAACATGTTCTATTGACTCCCTCTTCTTTAAGTTGTTTAGAGGTCTTCTACCTAGCCACAATTTATAAAGGGTAGAATATATTACCTTTGTTGGAACCTTATTAAGCATATAGATGGTTGTGTTTAATGCTTCTCTCAAAAAGGTATTGGGTAGACAAGTATGAGCCAACATAGATCTATTCAATTATAAGAGGGTTCTATTATGCCTCTCAGCTACGCCATTTTGTTGTGGCGTATAAGGCATGACGATATGTCCTTTAATATCATTTTCTTTGCAATAAGTGTCAGAAGCTTCAGATGTGTGCATTCACATCCCTTATCAATTCTAAGAATTTTGATGTTTCTACCCAATTGGCTTTCTACTTCTTTTTTTTATACATTTTAAAGATTTCTAAGGCTTTTGATTTATGGTGGATTCGATATATATCCAAATCTAGAAAACTCGTCTATAAAAGTGACCAAGTGTGACATTTCTCTATGAATTTTAACATTGAGACGCCCACAAATGTTTGAGTGGACTACACTCAATAACTCATTAGCTCTCTCCCCTATATTTCATGGTTTTTTAGTTATTTTTTTTTATAAGCAATGCTAATACGTTGGAAATTTCATATTATTTAGATTTGGAATAATACATTGTTTCATTAAGGTATTTATTTTGTCTTTTTCTATAAGGATACTAAGATGTAAAGTGTATGCATCAACAACCATTGCAAGATCAACATAACTAGAATAAGAAGAAACTTTATTATCATCACTCTCATTTACATGAAGAATAAATAAATTATGTTCATCAATCAAGTATCCCCAAGCATAAATTTGTCTAGGCTTTCCAATTGATACTTTCAATGATTGAAACTGCAATTCAAAGCCCTTTTGAATAGCTAAAGGGACAAAGACTATATTTTTCCTTATACTAGGTACAAAATATAGTCAGTAAGAACAAGATCGAATGCCCTTACATACAACCTACATGTTCCTATATCTAATACATCAGAATAACTGTGTTCCCTATATCAAGGTGTTTTTCTTTAGCTGCTATTTCTTTGAAGTCCTCAAAAATGCCTTTTGACCTGATATATCAGAATAATTGTTGTTCCCCATATAAAGGTGTTTTTCCTCAGCTTTTATTTATTTGAAGTCTTTAAAAATACATTTTGAGCATGCAAAGTGATGATTAACGCTTGAATCTACCCACAATGCTTTGGTGTCATTGTTTTTAAATAAGTGCTTTGAGCCCACGCAAACAACTTCGCGCCTCTTGCTCCCATTTCTGCTATGCTTAGGATTTTGTAGGTTTCTATTATGTGGGCAATGATTTTTAAATGACTTTGATTTATCACATATCAAGCATTTTAGCGATCTTTGTTTAATATCTTAGTTGTAAGGATTGGTTCTTTTATTTTTGAAACGATTATTTCCCTTATTAAACTTTCTTTAAAATTTTTAGTCGTTAAGCTAGGATCGGATAGAGATTTTGCATTCTCTAATTGTTACGGTCACCATCGTCCATGAAGGTGGACGACTATTAAAATTATGGTCTCTCGCCCATTCCCACCCGGAGCGGCCATCTCACTCTTCACTATCTTGCACGGACATATCCTGTAGCTATTGCCCTTTCTCTATGCCACGGTAACTCTCCCTCTCAGAATACTGAAGCATGAAATTAGTAGAATAAATTCACCAAAAATACCCATTTTGAAAAAAATTGAGGCTTTGATTATTATTATTTTTATTGATTTTATGTTGATTTTTCTATCGACCACACCAATTCATGCTGATTTTTCTGATGTTCTTTACTTGCTGTTGGTTCTTTTTTCTTATCTGTCATTGAGTTCTCTTTTGCTAATATTTGGTTGCATCAAGGCGCTGCATTCCATCTTTGGGTAATGTTGATCCTTTTTGTCATTTAATTGTAGCATATTCTGTGGTTGTTATTTTGGATATTTTCCATGTGTCTCTATGTGATAATGAGTTATAGATTTTTGGGTATTGTTGATCTTTTTTGTTTAGTTTATGTTGTTTAATGGCAGCATCTTTTGTAGTTTTAATTTTCGATATTTGCCTTGTCTATCTATAGAATAATGGATTACTGATTTTTGGATGCTGTTGATACTTTTTATTTGAGTTTTATGTTGTTTAATTGCAACAAATTTTGTAGTTTTTATTTTGGATATTTGGCCTGTCTGTCTATGTAATAATGGTTTACTGATTTTTAGGTATTGTTGAGTTTTATGTTGTTTAATTGTCGCATATTTTGTAGCTTTCATTTTGGATATTTTCCTTCTCTCTATGTAATAATGGATTACTGACAATGACATTGTTTTGGTTGCATCTTCTTGTTTTATTTGTGGACTGCATGCCTTGTTAGAATCATGTGTTCTATTAAAGATCAAATAATAAGTATGTGTTCCATACTTGATTGTTTTGATTGTTTGAGTTTGTGGTTTGATAGAGGAGTGCATCCTATGTTGAGGGGAAGCTCTCATACTACAATTTTTATGTTTATCTGGGTATGATTTGTCTTGTGAAACAAAAGGTATGTGCTCCACACATTCTATGTTAATCATCGTTGTTGCCATTTGTATTGAAATGTCAATAGAAGAGTTCTGGTTACACGTTCATGTTTTTCGGTTAATATTGTTGTTTACTATCATAATTTGAGTAGTATTATAAATAGTCACACAAGATACGGGTGATGGTGCTGTTGTCAACAGCATGGTTTTTGTTCTTCAAATTCATCATTATCATTATTAGAGCCTTTTTCCTAACTATTTGGGTTGGCTACACGAATCATAATCCTGTCATTCTGCTCTATAATGGGCCATACCCTCGGTGAGACTATAAATCGCTATATATTTTTTCACCACTTCCAATCATGTCTTTTTGGGCTTACCACTTGTCTTTTATTGTTCAAATTATGAGGTTCATATGCCCTTCCTATTAGGTAAAATGAAACCACCGTGTATTCCTATAGGAGGCAAATCCTCTTGTCCTTGTAGGGAATATTTAATTTGTAAACTCTAGGCTAACTCTATATGAATGATTTCACTCATTAGTGTTTGTTTGTTGAAACAATAGGCAATGATGCGTGGTAAAATTAAAAACAAAAGAATCGAATGTTTTGTATGGTTCTCTCATGTCCAATTTAATGGTTTTTTTAGGTGAAATTTTTTATTACAAGCTTTTAATAGGCAATTCGAAAAAGAGTTCCTTTTCGAATATCTATTGCTCATTTCAAGTCTTATTAGCCTTTCCATTTGTGATGCAAATCGTATCTGTAACAGTTAGTGAGTTTTGCTGAAAGTTTGATAATGAAATCTTCTTCCTCCTTGGTGTAGAGCGAGAGTTCCCATCCTTGTGTACTAAGAGTATCTTGAGTTGAAAGGTCATCCTTGTGTACTGCGAGTACCTTGAGTGACAACGGTTGAGGTTGAAGATCCCTTCCTCTTCATTCCCTTGATCGAGATCAACGAAGCCGGGTCATTGTTGCACAATCGGCCTCGGATCTATATTTTTCGGTTCCAGTTTTGCTCCAATTTGTATTGGTTTCTTTTAGCTTCTAGTTCGTTGATGCTTTGTCAGTAGCTTTACGTGAATATATATATTACCTCCTTTCACCATGGTCTATATTCTAGCATTTGTTTCTTTTCTTGGTTTTATCAAAGCCATAGCATGTCTAAAATTCGCTCTGATGATAAAATGTTGGACATATTTATTATTTGCCTTGGTTGCCTAAAATAGAAACATGTAACTGATTTAAAACCAAAACAAATGGTTTTGTATCACAAATCACTAGCTTCTTGTAATTGATTTATAGGTATTTATTTCCTTAATGAATGTTCTATATTCCTGTAGTAGCAAAGTTGCAATCTTAAGTCATCCTTTTTTGAAAAAAAATTCAACATGTCCAATAGAAGGAAAGAAGAAGCCGAATATTTTGAAAAGTTGATGCGGTTTTCGTTGCAGTTGCAGCTTCTCTTAGTGCTGCTGGTTCCATTCTAGCAGTTTGTATTGATAGAGCTTCTGCAAGAAAATGTGGATTAATGGGCACAAATTACCATCATAGGATTATCAACACTAACGATTTCAATTGTCATAACCAGATTCAAATGAGTTAACATGCTTACTCAATCTCGAGTAGTATTCTGAGAGAGAGAGAGGGTATTTAGGTGATATGATGGGTGTCTTGTTGGACAACCAATTACTGATCTTCTCGCAGATACTAAGCCACAATATAAGGAGCTCATAGACACCATCAATGCTAGTGTGCACTTCTTGAAATTGCCTTTGGCCAAGCTCTCTTTGTCAACATTATGTTTGATGAAAGTAGTTAAGAGTTATGGTGGTCTGTCATATTTAATTTATGGATATTTGGACTATGTACCTATACCATAGACTCTCTATCTGTCTCTTTCTGTAACAAAGAATCTCTCTACCGGGGATTTTGTCTTTTTAGTTTTATGGATTTTCCTTTATTGGGAGGATGCAACACCTGACACTTGAGACCTGAGACCAAATGTGTTTTTGCTGCATGAACTATTATTAGTTGATATTCATATGTGCATATTATTGGATTTATTGTTCTCATAGTTAAGATTAAGATGCATTCATTGTAGTATTGATGGTGGATGTAAACCTCTGCAATGATAAAAAAGGTGTAGGTGAGCGCCTAGGTGTTTTGGGGGTCTGGCTGCCTAGGCGGGTGCCCATGAACGAAGAAAAGAGCGCAACTCGCCTCCCCTTTGGTCACCTTTTTTTCTCTCTTTGTAATTACTGTTCATAAATATTTTAAAAGCACGAATGGCAGGCATAAAAAAGAAGAAGTGACTGAAATAACTGTGACCGTTATGCCATTCACTTTTGGTATTGTCTTTTAAATTTTTGAAAGGTAGAGTTTGTCTTTATGTACGCCATTTCAATGAATGTGAGGAGTTTATCTGTCACCTTTAAAGCTCTGGACTTTTTCACACTAATAATTAAGGACACCCCAAAAATAATAGAGATCAATTTAACTTATTCTTTGTTAAGGACAACGAAAAAGAGAAACCAACTTTTTAAGTGGTTCACATTTTAGGATAGCATGAGAGAGAGAGAGAGAGACATGTGTCATTGTAGCTTTGTGTCTTGTCAACATTTTTTTATCTTTTTAAAAGGGTTGGCAGCAAAATGTATTTTTCAGACAAATATTAAAAAATCAAATATTGATACGTGAGTCCTATTTATATGTGTTATGATCGATTTGAGGTTTCTACTAATATGGAATAATACAAAATTAGATTTGGATTAAAATCTCTTTTTGAATTTTATTTGAATTTATATTATCAAATATGCATATAATCTAATCACATAAGAAGCAAAAGCATGTATCTATAATAAGAGTTACTTAAATCATAAATTCAAATCCTTAAACTGTTATCCTCTGTTTTATGTTTTATCTTAGTCATGAATCGTACTAAGATGTGTAAATATGAAGTATGAAATGAACTCACCAGTATGCTCTAATTAGGGTTTGTAGAGAACAAGTAAATCCATAGCTTTAGAATATCCAAAGCATGTCAATACCTTACTAGTAATCTTGAGTATGAAGGGATTATTAGCATTGTAGAAAGGAAGTAATAGAGAGGTGATGGAGGAAGATTAGATGTTGGTAAACGAGGATCTTAGATGCAAGATTCACCACTAATACTTACTAGAAACACACTATCAAAGGTGCTGGTAAACGAAATGAAGATCCTAGATATAAGAATGACCATTAATACTTATTGGAAACGGACGATCAAAGATGCTGGTAAACGAGGATCCTAGGTATAAGAATCACGTTTAATATTTACTAGAAACACGGGATCAAAACTGCTGGTAAACGAGGATCCTATATGAAAGAATCACGGTTAATACTTTATGAAAAAAGTATATGAATCGCGCTTCAAGGAAATGAGAAACCATAATGACACGTACAATGAAACGCGGTTCTCCAATTTGGGAACCTAATTTAAACCTATAAGAAATGAGAAGCGTAAAATTCTAATTCGTGCACCCAACAAGATCCCTTTATGGAATCGTGGGAACGTGGTTCTGAACCGGGACCGTGGCCTTTCCCACACGATTCCTGCAACTATTTACCAGAATAGGTTCCATAAAGCCTTTCTCCCAAGCCACCTCCTCTCCTCACTAAGTGTTCCTAATCAATGCCATCCACTCTTCCAAGGTGGAGGTGGGGCTTACCAAGGAAGCAACTGTCAATATGATTTCTTGAAAAAAAACATTGTCCGTATGTTTTCTATTGATTTTTCACATAGTTGTCCAAGGGATTTCTAAGGTGCGAGTGTGGTAGGATTTGGTTATGGTTTGACTTATGGATATGCCAATGGATATTAAAAAGAGGCCATTTTAGCTTGTTTGGGTTTTTTGAGACAAACTTCAAGGATTCGATTGAACCCCTTAGCTCCCTCACCAAAACTGTTATGTGTACCACTTAAGCCGATGTCCAAGGCATAGGCTCAATGCATATTCATTTGGTGATATGCTGGTTCACGAGAAGAGAAAGGTTAATGTCATTACCCAGTGTCCCCATTTTGTAGGAAGCTTATTGTTATGATGTTTTTGATAAGTAACAATATCATAGAGAATAACAAGTTCCAGTGCATGAAGCAACGATCAAAATCAAATACTGGAAGGGTTTAAGTGAGAAGCAGGGTGGGATATGCGAGGGCTAGTGACTAGATGAAGTTTAGGGATGATAGAGGTGGTTAAGAAGCCTTTTGTTTTGTTGACAGTAATTTAAGATACAACTTGGCCTCGGAACTGAACAAGCCCAGGAGCTGAGTCATGCAGTCCAACTTGGCCAAGTCTCAATTAGACTTAGTCTTCTGAATTAGACTTTGAACTGTTTAGACAACCGCAAGATTTTGCTAGATTTTAGATTGAAAGGGAAAAGAACAATTGTGTGTCCAAAAAAATTCAAGTTAGACTTGAATTTTTTAAGATGAAATTGTGGCTTCTCTCACCCCGTGCAAACCCCACGCCTGGCTTTCTCTCTATTAACTTGTGACCCAACAACCCAACTCTCTCTCTCTAAAAACCCTCTTAAACCTTGCAAACCCAACACCCGACTTTCTCCACCATTTTCAAAAGAGTATTCCTCCTCTTATAATAAGTTCCTCCTGTGCTACTAATGGTTTTTAGTGTTATTATCCACAAAAGAGGGTTTAAAGGTGGAGGCGAAAGAGAGGGAGGAGATTGCAGTAACTGAGAGAATTGCAGAGGGAAAGAGAGAGATTTGAGTAAAGAGATAAGGAGAGGTAAGAGCTTAGGGTTACTGGGAGGAAGTGACCATCTTGGTGAGGCGACGGATTTGTGAGAGAGTGTTACCAATCCATGGTGGGGGCAAAATAAAATGCACACCCAAAAGATTTTATAAGAATAGAAAAAAGGCTTTATATTTTTTTCAATTGATATTTGATAACCTCTTTTTTAATAGCAAATTTCTTTTATTTGACATCCAAACTGATCCTAGATTATCGGACTTGGTTCAAGAGTGGAGGACAATTGCCTCATCATGTATGCCACTTTCGAACCCCGAATAATAGGTCACCTTGAAATTTACTTTGAATGGAACTCTTTTAGGAACTTTGACAAGAATAGCACGGGTAGGATGCATGTTCTGAGATAGCTTAGGTGCCATATGGCATTCCTTCCCAGTCCTTTTTAAATTGGTGATGCTGATTAGCATAGTTAATATTTCATGCTTAAGTTTTGTATATGTTTGCGAGTTGCCAAGTATTAGAATCAATATCTTAGTACTCTTTACAACATGGTATATGCACAGTGTTTTTGTGATGGTTATTTTGGGACATTGGATTCCCATGTGTTGGCTATCTGTTTATGGATGTGCTAAGAGATCTGGATGGATTTACTGGATTAAAGAATTTAATTGTGAACAGTGCAAGTTATTAGTCTCTATAGCTTGGGCCTGATTTGTCTAATTCTATTGGGTTAGATGTTAATGTCAGGATTTGGGATAACATTTATAATAATTTTTTATACTTGTGGTACACAATAGGGCTACAACTGTTAATTGGATGAACCCAAAGTTCGTTTGCTTAGGAAACATGGCAGGTTTGATCAGTTGTGAGATGTAAATGATACAATGATTTCATTTCTTCTCTTAACAAATAATAATTCATCCAAAACAAATAAAAGGAGAGAAAAAAAAAAGGAAAAACAATTTGTTACTCATGCAGCAGATTACTGAATGACTAGGCTATTCTTTTGTTTGCATATGGTTATGGAAAAAGGTATGCGCTTTCTCTTTACATGATTTGAGAGAACTTTTTTTGTTCTTTCTTTACTAATAATCAAATTGAATTTATTGTTTATTAACTTCTTTTTCATTGAGGTATTTATGGTTAAAAATGGGGTTTACCTCTTTCTCTTGATGTTTCACAGAGATATTTTTTTCTTCACCATTCAAAAGAAAGATTAAAAATAATTAGTTGAACCCAAATAGTTGGGTAAAGCTCGCATGATAATGATGATCCAAAAAGAGATTCAAAAAAAGGTTTTCCCCCAATATTTAGCTAAATAATTTGAAGGCATTCCTTATTGACCTCTGTTTAGTGCATAACCAGGATGTATGGAAGTAAAAAAAGAAAAAGAAA